AACTTGTTATTTAAAGTTTAAAAAATATGAAACATAATAAAGCAAATTCGAAATCCAAGATTCGGCCTTCCAGGTGTCCATATTCGGGTGGAGGACTACAATATTCAAAATTTGAAGGTTCTACGTGTCGTTGCTTTTTAACAATGGGATAAACATACACGTAGTCATGCAGATTCCTCATCATTTAATTTCTTTAAATATAATACACGGCGATTATATTTGGTGGCAACAATCTGAAAAGTGATGCAGCAGTTTATAGCAGCTAACGTCCTTTTGAGCTAAAAAGAGTTATGCAGTTTTACATCTTAAGTTTTTTTTAAACGTCCTTCAGTAGGAGAAGAATAAAGAAATACATTTGGCATTCGATATCACATCATTCGTTCTTATTTAATGAGCAAATGTTTTAATAGCTGTCGCTAGCATTTGTAAATGCGACATCATCCAAATTACTTGCTGCTTGAGCTATCTCACCCCTATCGTTTCAACTACTCTAATGGTAGGAATGAAAAGGACTGAATACGACTTCACTTTTTTCGTAGGTTACGACATCGTGTCATGAAATGATAAATGTCATCTTTACATTCTTCGAAATGTTTTACACGGTTTCGTGTTTAACATATGAATAAAGAAACATTGTTAGCTTCTCAGTCTTTATGTTGATGGATGCACGCGCTTAATGATTTCAATTTAAACGGTCGAAACCTGTGGGAATAAGAATCTACTAAATAAAAGTTTGTGTCGTATCTTTTAAGTTCTTTAAAATAATCGGTAACCATTAACATAGCAGCGCACGTATTTCATTAATTACTTACGAATATTAGCTAAAAATAGCTTTCCTATAGTATGTACTTTATTCAATTGGATATTCATATTTCAAATACTGAATATTCACATAAATTCGCACAAAAGAAGGCACAAGCTTCTGCGATCTGAGGTGAAAATTAACATAATTTGAAGGGCTGCCTTCTTCTTAGAGCTACTTTGTTTGAATTGTCATAAAGGTAAAACAAAATAGAGCTTCACGAGGCTCAAATGGAAAGCATTCTTATCGAGAAGATCAGGTAAGAGTAATAAGTAAGAGATAAAGTGAGATAAAGTAAGAGATAAAGTAAGATAAATTATAAGATAAAGTAAGAATGTGAACTAGTAAAAAGAGCATATCTTAAAAATTTCCAATAAATAGTTTCGCGCCCTGGAGATAAAGTGTTGCCATTTCTCGCTTTGAAATCGTTGACTTTGTCAATCAAAAATTCGTTAATGTGTTACAAAATATGAAATCGATAACAAAACAAATTCCAAATTCCAAATTAGGGCTTCCAGATGCCCATATTCGAGGGAGGATTACGTTATTCAAAGTTTGATGGCTCTAAGCACCGTTGTTTTATGACAATGTGAGAAACATAATTACATTTATGCAGATTCTTCATTATTTAATTTCTTTAAATATAACACAGGGCGATAATATTTGGTGGCAACCATTTGAAAAGTGAAACTTCTGGGCTAACGCCCTTTGAGTTAAAATAATTGATATTAAAACTAAATGAAAGCAAACTTCAGCAAAACTTGTTAAATTCTAGAGCAGTTAAGACATATCATAAATAAGCACATATCTCAGATACATATGTTATATCGTTTATTTTATTTTATTAACCAATTTTAAATATGAAACTAATGAAAAAAAAGTTAAGAACAACTTTTAGGTCCAAAAAAGGGACGTTCATTATATTTATAAAATTGCCAGGATCATAAATAAATTTTCTTGAAATGTGCATATTACTAAATTTACAATTCCAGTTTATTACATTGTGATTAAATGGTTAAGTGTTGAGATAAGAATCTTAGGATTAACTCAAGAGGATTCGAGATATCTTGTTTCGGTATGCAATATTTCTACTGTTACTCACTATTCTTACTATTCTAATTTTTAATGCATATAGTTTGTTAAGGAAGACCAATAGAATTTCTATAGTAGTATACATAAATGTAATAATATAAATGCAGTATGCAATATGAAGAATTAATCTCCGTAAAATATAATGCTCTTTTTTTTTTTTTTTTTTTTTTTTTTTTTTTTTTTTTTTTTTAACGTTTACTGAGCTTAGAAAGTTTGTGAAAAGAGAGAGTTTCAAAGCAGAGATTCATTTAGCAAAGTTAATGATGATGTAAATTTGCATGCAACTTTATATCCTTGCAAAGAACTTTTCTGGCTCAAATTTTAACCAGGCAGACAAGTACGATGCATATTTAGAGAAAATAATCTTAAAAAAAAATATCTAAAAATTAAACACAGAAGTTTAAAGCATCATAGTTTTCACTGAGAAAATGTGCAATATAGTTTGTAAAAGTGCAGTGTTTACGCAGAACTTGTGGGGATATTGAAATGATTAGAAAAGAAGTTAGTAAGTTAGTAACACAGCTAAACATGATTTGCAAATTTTGAGTATTATACCTTTTTGTTGGCAGTACCAAAAGCTTCCTATCATATGAATACATTTTAAAGTCATTTTAAGTATTTTCTAAATCTTTGAATAATAACTTATTCTCATTTACTGTATATGCTCAACTAATTGGAATAAAACCCTTGTTAGAAGATAAAAAAACATGATAACATTTTAAATGCTTTATATTATTTAATGCACTTAAAAACGAGTTAAACCGTTTTATCTCATTGTCATCAAATAATGAAATCTCTTCGTAAAATATAACATTATCTATGAAATCAAATTTGAATTGTAATTAGTATCTTTTTATTTTATCACGGAACAAAATTGTGAAATGAAGAATTACTAATTGCAAATAAATATACTTAATGATTTATTATCAGAAAAGGAGTAAGCCGGCAGTTGCCATAGTTACCTTGCAACATAATCATTGTACGAATCTACGATTGTATAAAACCTAATTGGATAGGTGTGAATAATTCTCAGGAAAGTTTTTCGGTCTGTATGAGTAGCTCATTTAGTCTAGAGGTGTTCAATTTTTTCTAATCAGAGAGCTCTTAAACTTTTGTTTATTTATTTATTTATTTACTAGCGGAAATACCCGATGCCAGTTAAATTAGATTGAGAATAATGCATCTAACAACAGAGAGAACGATATCGCTGTAATCCTTCTCTAATAACGATGCAAAAAATACGATTCATAGTCATGCATTTTTCAGTCTAATGTAATATGGAACACACATAAAAAATTTCGATAGAGAAACTAACTATCTCTCATTATATCATCAACAATGGCATGCAGTTTTCAATGATTTTCGTCTTTCTAATCAAATGGTCGTAAAGGCTCAAGTTCCATCCAATATTTCAACTATATTCAATTTTAATCGATTAAATGGGGCAAAAAATTGATCATAAATGATCAGAAATCAATAACGCCCACAAACAAACAAACACGCAAACAGACATTCTTCTTTATATGCATAGATTTTGTAAAATTTACAAATTTTTTATTAACAAACTCTACGATTTGAAAGCGAGCAGTAGCAACACTTTCCGAAATAAAGCATTTTTATCTCCAACTCTCGACACTTTTGCCACTCGGGAAAATGAGTGCGAAAATTAGCGCTTTCAAGAGTTTTTAATTAATATCTCGGCTGATTAGAGTCGTACGAAGATGGGAATAGTCGAAATGGCTTCCCACGAATTTTTTGAATTGGTAATAATGTATCCAATGCTTGGCAACGCTATTTTTATTTCATCGTAAAACTTAGAAAATTTTTATTAACAAACTCTTGAATTTGAAAGCGAGCAGTGGCAACAACTTTGGAAATAAAGCAGATTTTCATCTTCAGCTTGCGAGACTGTTGCCACTCGGTAAAATGAGGGCGAAAATTATTGTTTTTCCGAGTTTTTAATTAATATCTCTGATTTGAGCTATTCTTTTTCAGAAAAAAAAAAAAAAAAAAAAAAAATGGACGTCGAGCTTTTTAAGGACCCAAAAAAGAATTTTAGAAAGTTTGGTGACGATAGCTATAGTAGGAACTGAGTTATTAGAGGGCAAACACACAAACTTTCTTCTTTACATATATGGATTTTTATGGAACCTCTAACATTTTCAGAAAAGTAAATACTAAAAAAGTATTTAGAATATATTAACTTTTTATATGGAAGAAGAGAAGAAAAATGTTATTTCATTACAATTTTGAGTAGTCTGAAGACAAATTTTACTAGTTGATAATTTATTTATCAATAAAATTTTATTTTCAATATTACATCTGGAAATTAAAAATTTTGTTTAATTCAATATTTTCGATATTTACTTTCATTGTAGCCAAGGTATTCAAAAATTTTTTCGAATTTTTTATTTTGTCTTCTGGAACCACTAGAAGAATTGAATGGAACTCAGGTCTCCGCGGAATGCGGTTTGACAATTGGCCCAGTCTATTTTAAATTCTGTATGATATTTTTAAGTTTTCCTATTAGCAATACTGGAAAGAAATGGTAAAAATAGGCAGAAAACTAATGATTTTTTTTTAACTCTTGGAAAGGCAATATTTAGCCGGGTGTTAACGTCCAATGACGAATAGTAATTGAAATAATTCGTAATCTCCTCGCACTTTTGCTACCGAATATGTTAAGCGGCGAATGAGTGATAAATTAAAAAATGGCGTTTTTAAAGCAAAATTATCTTTAGAGCTATATTTAGTTTATTAGAACTATCATTTAATAATTATAATATTGTTACAAATACCTATAAAAATCTGCGAAATATGCCATAAATGGTACCAATTACATCAGTTAGATATATTAAAAAAATAAAAATGTATTAAGATTTTCTCAAATTCTTTTAAATTGAAATATATTTTAATTTGAAAAATTAATTAATTAAAGATCTTACACCAACACGAATAGAAACATTAACAGCTGGCAGATGGGTGTTATCCAAATACACCATCCATTTCTACTTTTGCAGTTCAATTAGTCTGCTGAAGAACATTTAATCTTATTTGAGGAGCACAATTGTAAATGAAAATCGGAATAATCGTAATAAAGGTTTACTTTTTACTTGAATCCATATGCCCTTGATATTAATTTAAGGTATAGACTGCTTGCCTGAAGAAAAATCCTCTTACATGCAAGTTGAAATCCTCTACATTCTTTTTTCCTTCAGAAATCCTTTTTGCCCATTAAATCTGAAACAGAAAAATTTATTTTTAGCGTTATTTGTATTGACATTAAATGCAATTATATGGTTATACAAATATGGCTTCATTTGTATGATTATTTATTATCAAAGAAAGATCTTCTACCTCAATTTTTCGACGATAAATACGAATTATTGGTAATACTAGTCGATATTTATATTGTGATAGCGGGAAGTTCTTTGTAATATTTAAGGAAACATTTAGCCCCACTTAAGGTGTTAATAATAGCAGTTCTCACATGGCAAATGATTTACATGTTCCAAAAAATTCTTAACAGAAGTAAATAAAATATAATTTTACTAAATGCATATGTAATTTAATAACTGGTTTTAATACAGATAACATATTTTTCTAGAAAATTATTTTTAAAACAATATCATTATTATCTAAAAAATATGTGAGGATTTTATTTGCAGGTAGCTATAAAGAAATCAGTTTATATAAAATGTTAATAGTCGATAAAAGTCCATTTGCTCCGTACAAATTGAATATAACTCATGTTTAGTTTGCAATAATCACAGGCAAATAAAAAAAAATATGTCTTTCTGATTTATAAACTTAATAAAACACACTTGATCTTCTAATACCAAAATGCGATTTTTATTTTGCATTAATTACGATAATGACTTTCAGGCGCAGTTTTTTCCTTTATTTTATAGAGCCTCAATGACTTTCTGACTCTTCACATTATTTTTTAAATTAAATTAATATCTAACCATAATATTAAAAAGAAATAAGACTTCTCTGTTACTAAAATTTAAATTTTAGTATGGCTCTTGTATTAAAAAATTAACTAACTTGGCAAAAAATGAATAAATAATTAAAGTTTTCACCACATAAGTAAGTAACTTATTCATAATAACAGCATATATTCGCATGAATAGTATGTAAAATAATTTAGCCAAAAAGCAACAATAATAAAAATAGTTACTTTTTAATGTTTTGTATTGTTTCCGGTATATGCAGATCTTACGAAAAGTCTTGGGCTTCGAGTTTCGAGGGAAGGATATGTTTGTTTGTCTCTGTTAAAATTATATTATTTTGGAAAAAAATTATATGTCTGTGTGTATATGTTATCTTGAAAGACCAAATTGGAGAATGTCGACTTTCACCGGAGAATGTCAACATTCACCAAATACGTTGGTGAAAGATTGAATATTGCATTACATTCTTGTACATTCGGACCCTCACCGGCGTATGCCGACAATCACAGATATGCTCTGGTGTAGCTCGAAAAGAGAGGAGTATATGTACACGCTGTCATTGCAAAAGGAAGTGTTCCACAAATAAATGCAGTTGTAAAAGCAAGGGCCTCTTGTGCAATTAAAAGTGTCATAATAGTTTACGTTGTTGCAATAAATAAGATTTGAATCACATAATTGAGTAACTTTTTAACTTATATTATTTTCCTTTTTCACTTTGAATGTACTGTGTGTTTTAAGTTTAATGTTATTAAGTTCTTATTTTAAGTCTCAAGTGCGTTTTTTGGCGACTGAATGACGGAGAAGAAAATATAATATTCTTATATGTTTAACATTCGCCATTAGTACACGGTGAATGTCGAAATTTAGCGGTGTAAGTCAGAAATAAAAGTATTTGGAAAATAGTTCGGACATATACCAAGCGACTATGTGAATGTTGACATTCACCGTTTGCATTTAAAAATAATTACCAATTCTTAATTTTTTTCAGTGTTATTTAATTTAATAAATAAGTAACTTAAATTTTCTCTGCCGCCCAAGGGGAATAGTGGTTAGTGACTCTGCCTGTCGTACCGAAGAGCCCGGGCTCGAATCCCGGAGAAGGTGTGGATATTTGTAAATCTATAGTATCTGTGCGGCATTAAGGCACTCTAAATATGAGGCGAGATGATAGTCCTCTCAAGAGGTTGTCGTAGGCGATGATAGGTAGGATTTCGTGAGCTTGTTCTGATGTACTGTCGGACAAGTGAGATAAGTCACAACAACAATAACGAATTTTCTTTTCATTGCTCACATAAGCAGTTTGAAAGCCTGAACACCACTGGGTTCATCAACGATTTTTCTCACTTTAATAAGGGAAATATACAAGTATAAGGAAGTATAATATGATTTGATACTTTAAGCCTTGGTCTTATGAGACCAAGCTCTTCGTTTCCTACGCATTTCAATAAAGCTATATAAGTATTTTAAGCTGAATATTTCCATTTATTTAAATTACAAATAATCGAAATTTATGGCTCATCTTTTCCGCCAAATGCTTTATATTTAAATATAATTTTAAAAAATGAATGCAGCAGAAATAAATTATTAAAATATTAACTAATTTATTTTTATGGCATTTGTAAAGATGTTTCATTTCGCTTATTTAATATTTAAAATATCATATATTCGCCCTACTAGAATATGCAGTTAAACTCCTTCAAAATAATGCTCAGAATCAAAATAATTTTAATTATATTTCATACTAGTGAAACATCATCATGATGTAGTGGTGTGACTTTCTGATCCAACATATCGTTTTTTGTTTAATTTCTGTGCTTAAAAGACATTCAAGAATGTGGCATAAAAAGAAGGGGGAGGGGGAATCCTGCAATTTCTCTCCCCCCCCGAATTCAATTTTAGTATGTAAATATAGGAATGAGCGTATCACGTATTAGTAAAGCAAAAACTGATTATTAAAAAAACACTTCAAGCATTAAAAGTTTATTTTGCATCTGTAAAAACATTTGTAAAGGAAACAAAGCGTATCTGTTTCTAAGCAAACAAATGCCAAACATTCACTGTAGCTCAAATATGTAATGTATGGTGTTAAAAAATCTCGTATTAATAAAAATAATAGTTAGAAATTCTTAAAACATAAATAGCTACTACATTAAATCATAAAAGGCATATATATTATTAATATTTTATTACTGATACTCAAAAATAGCAATAAATACGTCATGTTTTACATTGCTAATCTCAGTATTAAAAGAAATTCAATTCTATTATTCATTTCAAATAATGGAAATTTCTGTTTTCCCTGTTAACTTAACAATATTTCACTTCCGAATGATCTACAAATAAACTGTATTTTAAAATTGTCTTTATTCGTGGAATATTCAAACAACTTATGAAAAACTAAAGAAGTCGGTGAAATTTTTTAACATGAAATAAATTTATTATGAGTCAAATATAAGAATATTTATTTGGTGTTATTTTGCCGTTAACAATCCCAGCAACCTTTGTAAACAGATTCTCTTTTTTTTTTTTTTTTTTCTTTTACAGTGACAATTAAAAGAAATAAGAAATTAGTTTAAACGTAAATCCCTAGATGGCGCTACTAATGTCATTTATCATTTAACGTTTCCAAATATATTTTTTAAAAAAGAAAAAAACTGAGCACACTTCCTTCATATTCTAGTTGTTGTTTCATTCATCAGGGCGATAAACGAATTATTGATTGTTTTATTAATTTTTTCCTCACTAGCTGGCATGCGAAGTTTCAAGTTTCATAGATTGATATGAACGTAGATATGAATAAACAAAGCATAAGTAATACCTCGACGAGAGCCAACTGTTCGTGAGACGATTTGTCATTGGCTAAACAGCAGCTGAAGAATGACGGGAAGGCGGGATGTGACAGAGGGGAAGCCAGCCCACTACGCCTTGTCAACACCTGACAACGCTTCCCTTTGGATAGCAGTGCCATCTAGGGAAAGAAAAGAACAATATTTGTCAGAGCGAATGACTAATGGTGCAGTGAGAAAATAAACATATTTTACTCTCAACACAATCATGTAATGGAAAATTTCAAATACGTTACTTGATGTCATTTTGAATGCTCTTCAAGATGATGTAATACTTAGTCGAATAACAGATCTATTTATTTTAATGTTTACACTTTTTAAAATAATGGCCTTTTTATGCAGTTATGTACAGATTTGGATTGGCAATTCATTTATATTCATTTAAAAAATAAAAGAAAGAGAAATTAGATGCAATATATCTTACATAAAGAAATAACAGATTATTATTTTTAAAGCGAAAAAAAGGCCCCAAAAAAGAACAACATATATTTAAATTAAAACAGACTTAGTTAAACTGTCATTTACAATATTCTTTCATTGTGTGTGATAATATACACATATACAACTTTTATACTTTTAGTGTAAAACATAAAAGTAATACTCTAAAACTTATACATTTTTTAACAATTCTTTTGTCTGAAACACTTCTTTCATTTTGTTTTACATATTGTCTTTAATAATTTACTGCACATTGTATGCACGATGCCTACATTGAAGATTTAAGAGTAGAAAAACTAGCTATAACACACATTTTCTTAATACTTTCTAAACGTATATGTGTTAATTATTTATTTACCTTTCTTCTTATGTAAATAAATTAACAATGTTACTTAATTAATGAAGGCAGATTTCTAGAATATTTTCGAAAAAACAAAGCCTTGTTAATCCTCTTCTTTAGAACAGTGATCACAATAACATCTGAATTTAAAACAGAGGTCTAAATGATAATTATTTATATTAATATTATTACAAACAATTATCACATACACACAAAAACAAAGTAATTCATTTCAGCGTTAAATTTAGTTGTCAGACAAATCTGCTATTAATACAAAGATACAGAAGATTTAAAAGCACTCTAAATCTTGTCAAATAAAAAAGAATTTTTAAAATCATCCTCATTAAACTTAAGCAAATTTATAATTGATATTTTTTCGAAATTTAAAATTCCCCCCCCCCGCAGTCCAAATAATTAATTATTTATTTTTTTTTTCTTCCAGTAAACGGACCGACTTCTTTAGGTTTTCATAAGTTATTTGAATATTCTACGAATAAAGACAATTTTAAAATACAGTTTATTTGTAGATCATTCGGAAGTAAAATATTGTTAAGTTAACAGGGAAAACAGAAATTTCCATTAAACGCCACTTGAATTTCTTTTAATATTGAGATTAGCAATGTAAAACATGACGTATTTATTGCTAATTTATGCCTTGGGAAAATAAAAAGGCATAGCCTTTTAAAAGAAACATTTATTGTAAGTGCATAAGCGATCCAGTGAAAATATGCACAGTTACATCTTGAATAATTAAATTTCTCATTTGTTAAATGTGTAAGACTATATGTGGCGTTAATTCGCATTGAAATAGTTATCACAGCACTTTTGTTTTCCTCCTAACCTTTAGCACTGGTATTTTTTACAGCTCGTTCTAAATATGTGACTTTATGTTCTCTACATCGAATTACTAGAGGGTGTAATATTTCTGAAACTAGCACGCTAATCTTAATCACTTCGTTTAAAATTGCATCAGGTGTCAAACTGGAATCTGCATACAAAGTTTAGAAAGCAAATTTAGAAACCTACAAACTTTAAAAAAAAATGTTATAATTGTAATCTTTTAAAACTGTTTGCGCTTTTTAAATTTTTAAATTTCAATTAAACTTTTTTGAGGTGCTGTTTTGTCTGATTGTAATCTGAAATTTTAAAATTGCAATTCTCCTTGTCCCTTCATTGTCTTTCAACTAATTAATTAATTTACATCTTTTTTAATTCTATTTTCCTCAAGGAAAACTGTACAATTATAATTTATCAGTGTATCTGCAAAACAGTATTAAAAAATACAGTGGAAAACAATGGAATTTTTATTTGATTGAAAGTAAAATAATTAACTTTTTCAATTAAAATAAAACACTGAAATTTACCTTTATTTATGCGAGTAATAAAAACCTCATAGTCTTGCTTTCATGCCTTTTTATTAAAGTGAATGGGATAATTTATATTATTATTTATATTTATTACAAAAATAAAAATAGTCATTAGCTATTCTACTGAGAAAATACATTTTTTAAACATGGAATACTTAAACAGCAAAACTTAAGTGCATTAAAGTTCATTATTTTTTTTTAATCAAAGTTAATGAAATAAAGTGCACTATTTTTTAAAGACTTAATATTATTTTATTGAAGGAAAATTAAATCATATAAGTAAAATGAACAGTAAATTAAACTTATTCTGAAAAGAGAAAGCGAACAGAATAACATAAGTTCCAGATAACAATAACTGGACAGTAAATATTTGTTGTTGTTTTGTTATCTTTGATCAGAAATATATTCATTTTATTTGATCATTGTATCTCATGAATTGAGGTACTTCGCCAAAAGTAGCTTAAAAATTACTGAAAAATATGACAATATATATTATTATAAAATATAATATAATATATTCTTTTCCATTTTATGCTCTTTACTAGAAACAACTAAAAATTCTACCCGGAAAAGATTTAAATATTATATAATAAGTTCGATTTGAATGTGATTTTAGATCATATATTTGTTCTTAATACTGTTTGAAAGTTGTTAAAGTTATATAAATATGCTATAAAGTTGTTAAAGTATATAAATATGCCAAAAATATGCTATAAAGTTGTTAAGGTATATAAATATGCCAAAAATATGCCATAAAGCACCATTTCTAAGAAAAGACATAAAGAACAGGTTTAATGAATGTGTTTTTTAGACTATATTCATGTTGATTAGAGAAATGTAAATATTAATTCATTTACTTAATTTATGAATCTAGATTATGTATGCAATACTTCTCAGCTATCCTATTTTCTGGCTTGATATTCAGTTCTTTAAGAGAAGATACTTTTCGGTTAACTCTCTCTGAAAAACCAAGATACTCACTTTAATTAAAACGCTTTTCAAAATGTATTCAGCAAAAATTGCATTTTCGAAAATCAAGAAATGTCTATTGTTGACACCTACAAATACCTTTGAGAAAGTAAATAACTCTGATGCTTTGTAAAATGGCAGAAATTCGAGCAATTACAGAAATTTAGAAGACGAAACAAGCAGCGTCTTAAAGTATGTAAGTAGGGGTTAATACCACTTTTTCAACACTATGAGGCGCTGAGGTGCACAGGAGGTGGAGCTTCCTGAGACGCTCAGGGAAACGTACCGCTGATGTGTTATCAAGGATGCGTACAACCTTTCTTTCTATTCGTGACGTCATTCCGTGTTGCAACATGAGAAGTCGTGCCCATGCTGCACCTTACATGGAAAGGATTCCATTTCATTATGAATGCCAGCATCAGCATGCTGTCCTGACGTCATAGAGGATTTTACATGGACCTTATAAGAGATAGACTAACTCAGTGGGCGTGGCGCGCGTCACCCACATGTCCGCAAGAAAGAGTAGGGACTACCTGGTTTACTTTAAAACTGAAACCGATGGCGTTTGTATCACATAACTCTTTTAAATTATTAAATGTGATGCTTTGTATAGTGATGAGATTATGAAAGTCACAGTTTTTTCAAATAGGATTTAATATATCTCATTAAAGCACTTTTTACTGCATTTCGCGCATTTTTTCACTCTTATTTCTTGTACAAACATCTTTACTTTGGTAAAACGGTAAAAACTCTAAGCACAAAATTTATGAACTTAATTTTGCGCAAAAATGAAGCAAAATTAAATAAGATTGATAGTACGTGGTGCTTTGAAATAAATAAGGTAAAATTAAACAAGATCTGATAATTTTTTAAAAAACTTTAATGAACATTTTCAGGCAGTGATTTCCAAATTATAATAACATTACAAAACGATCATTTATTTGATTATATCATCATTAAATTATTAACATTAAAGTGGATTATTTATTTTAGTAATTTATAAAATTCGAAGCATAAAATTTCCTGATTGTAATGAAGGGAAAAAAAAAAAAAAAAGATAAAATAAAATCTAAAAGCACTCATTTTACATTACGCCCAAAAGGAACCATTTTTTAATGTTTTGCCTGTTACCTATATTTATTGAATATTATGTTCTTCGCCCATAAACCACATACATTTGAAAACAGCACATATCTTTAGAATTTCCGCACTGGAGATAAAAATGTTATTTTCCGTACAGTGTTACCATTGCTCGCTTTGAGCTCGTTGAGTTTGTTAATCAAAAATTCGTTAAAGTTTACAAAATATGAAATAGATTAAAACAAATTCGAAATTCGGCCTTGCAGATGCTCATGTTCGGGTGGAGGATTACATTATTCAAAATTTGATGGCTCTAGATACCATCGTTTTTGTCACAGTGCGAGAAACATACATGTATTCATGCAGATTTTTCATTATTTAATTTCTTTAAATATAATACAGGGCGATAATATTTGGTAACAACAATTTGCAAGGAGACACGGACATTAATAGTGAAACAGCGCAAAATGCTGCTTCGAGTTAATAAATAAAATTAACAGTAAATAATCTTATGCGCAATTAAGAATAAATTTAAAAAAATAATCACTATAAAATACAAGCAAAATTAATTATTACGTTTAAATACAATTTTAATATTAGAATTAAATGTATAAAAATCAAGGAGTCAGTGTTATGAAATATAATTGAAATATTAATACACTATGATGTATTATGAAATATAATTGAAATAAAATTCCTTTACAGAAATTGTGCTATAATACTTATCTATAATTTTAAAAAAGTAGCACAATTTAGAATTTTAATCAAAACTTTCAAAAATTCGTTTTAAATATTATTTTAGTATTTTTTACTTATTTACACCAATTAAAAGCATAAAAATTGCAAGAGAAAGTTGCTTGTTTGAAATTTTCTATTAGTTCAGACTTAAAATATTATTTTCTAAAAGAAGTAGTTACAAATTTCCTTACAGTATAGGAAAAGCTAAAAAAATATCCAGCCCTGAAAGCATGCAATAGCTTTATAATTATTTGAAACGTTAATTATACTTGATAAATATGCTAAATTTTTAAAAATCAATCTCAATTTCAAAAATAAAAATATGGAGAAAATTCTAATTTGTGAAATGAGGCGCTACAACTAGCTTTTTCTTGACAATTATACACGCTGCAATAGACTACCACTGTTAAATTTCTGCAAGTCGTCCCTACTCCTCCGGATATGATCAAGGTGACAGCCGGGAACGCGTCAGACGAGGGAGAAAACCCATTTCTGTTGGTCTATTTCTTATAAGGTCCATGGGATTTTATGAAGATCTCCTCCGCCTTCGAGAATATTCTAGTGCAATAACTGCCGCTAGAGAGCAACAGTCAGTGCATGTTGTGATTGGTTGTTGTAGACGACAACAAGACCTGAGAGAAGCTAGATTATATTACATTATTTCTTCTAATATTACCCATCTCTGATTGCTTTGCATAATAGTTTAATTTTAATCTCCTTTTTATTATTTTGATAATCGTATGCTTTGATCTTTTTACTGTTTAATAATTAAATTTTCGACAATTTAGCTAATTTTACTTGGTAATTGTTAAGTATTTCATATATGTCATTAATGAAATAACCAGCATGTGTTTTCAGTTCCTTCTGGTCTACTGTTCTTTCAAACTAAATTACTTTTCAGAATTGATCTAATTTTTTATATTACAGTTTAGGTAGTATTTTTCTGAAAAGGTGAATACGTTTAGACCTAATTTTAAGTAATCAGATGTTTCGCTTATGATATCCTCCTTATTAGCCCAAAAAGGCTATTAGTCTAAAAACACGATTTTGAGTTGTTTCACTTTTCATTCCAGTCTGTTGTCATTCGGGAAAACGTAAGCTATTATTCTTTCATATTTAACGTCTTTTATTAATTAACAAAGTAAATTACTTAAAAGAAATAAAGGCAAATCGCAAGATTATTACTATTATTATTACATTTTAATTTGTTTGATTTAAATAAATAGACATTTAACTCATGGCATATTTCGTCAAAAACATTAATTATGTTAAATTTTTTTTATAATTACATTGCATATTTTTTCACTTTTTTGAACATACAGAAGATATATAAAATTTTCATGTTAGCCTTAGTATATCTCCTAATATTCTAGACGTTTCGCTATTCCACCTCGGACATCTCTACTGATAAACCAGATTAAATTTTGAAAATTTTTTTAGTCGATCGTTAAAACCTGAACCCTTTTGGGGCCCACCAAAGGGCGAGGTTGAAGTCACTGAACACTAGTAGCTCGACTTGTGATCGAACCTGAAGAACAGACTAGTCTTACTTATATTTCTTAAGGCCTGGATAAATTGTCCCAGGAATACTTTTCATTACCTTACACAGCTTATAGGAAATGATTTATTACTCAAGTTTCATGCTATTGCATTACAAGATTTTACATTTCTTCAAAATAAGTTTTATTATTCCTAATGAGCGCATTTTGAATATTTTATTGCATTTTTCCCCAAAGCGCTTGGAACTAATTTAATAATATATAGCATAAATATGATTACCTTTTAAAAATTCTAATTGAAAATTAATTTAGTTGGCTCGGTAGTTTTAAATGTATCTTAAGTGCTGGTACTACTACAAAATGATTCGTGATTTTTGTATATATACTGAAAAGGCTAGGTAAAGTTATAAGGTATTTCTCCCGCCTTCTTAGCATGCCTTCGTAGTGTAGCGGTTAGCACGCTAGGTGCGTATTTCAGAGGTCCCTGTTTCAATTCCAGGCAAAGACGTTGCTCATTTTTAATTTCTCCTGCCTCGAAAAAATACCTAATGTCTCTATAGTGGCGCCCGAGCTAAAAGGGTGGTGGATGGTGATTCTCCACACTCAGAATTTGGCGATTGGGTTCCCTAAACCACAATCGCCCTTTAAAAGAGGGTGTATATAATGTATTTCTCTCGCCTTCTTAGCATGCCTTCGTAGCGTAGTGGTTCTGCACGTTGGGCCGGTATTTCAGAGGTCCGTGTTTCGATTCCCAGCGTTGCTAATTTTTCATCTTTCATACTCCCAAAAAGTCCTAATGTCTCTACAAAGTTAACTTCAGGTTTTTCAACTCATAGTAAATTTGAAGCCAATAAGATTCATTTTAAAGTAAATAAAATTGATTCTATAGCATATTTTCTAAAACTTGTTGAAAATTCTATGTGAACAACTTAAATTCGGTAAAAGTTCCATCCATTCTGTACTAAAGTAGTATGTGATGCAGAAAAATTTGAATGAATTAAATAGTCTTTGGAGTTTTCGTATTAGAAAAAGTTAACATTAGTAACATTAATTAAATAACAATTCTAGAATAATTATTATTTTTTTCCCCAATTGCGGGCATTTGCCTATAACGACATTGGCCACTACTAAGGTCAGAAGTGGTGGCCATTTTATTGTGTGGAGGCATTTAATAGGTGCCCCGTATGCAGGCCACTGCTGCCATCTATGGAGGGACAGACAATTTTACAACTATGCCTTCTCAGGTATTCGAACCCGGGCCCTTCTGTATTGCAGTCAAGCTAACCTAACCGTCTGGGCGGCTGTATAATTATCAGCTAAGGGAACAATTATTTGGGTGTAACTTTGTACTGAAAAGATGTAATTCCTAATAATGAAATACTGAAATGCAACTTTAAATACTACAGTTATCTTTGAAGTACCTTTATTACGAGAATGAACAGATTTTGTGGTGAATAAAGTCCTTATCAATATGCACAGAGTAACCATTTACCAAGATAAAGATTTGTTTTCTATGGATATTCTTCAGGCGGTTTCCTTTTTAAGTCACTTAATAGGAAAAAAATGTTTCATTATAAATTTAACTTCTAGTATATATGAAATTCCTTGTATTTTTTTATTTAGCTACAAACTACATATAATATCATTTACGTAAAATGGGCGTCTGGTATTCAT